CTCCCTAAAATGGCCTCTATAGCAACCCTACTCCGTTGGATCTGACGCAGGTGGGCAACACACCTAGTGATGGTTGTGAGCACGCCAGCCATCTCCGACCTATCTCACCTCCAGTCTCCTTGAAATGGTTATGACACCAAGCCCAATTGGAAGAGGAGGAGGCCGTGCGGTAGATTTTTCGCAAGTTCACTTTGAGTATTGTATATTTTACGCATACAAATAACAGTCCAAGCACCACTACGCTGTGGGATACAGTTAGGGCATCGTCAAAATTGTAGGCTTGCCCATTAGTGTGGGAACTGTTTAAAATGCTGCTCACAAGCCCTTCTTCTCCTTGTTGGCCCTCCCAATATGCATACAGCTATGCTGCTTCGATTTTTCTGCCTTGCTCTTAATAATTCTTGTGTAAGAGTGTCGCTCCTGCGCCTTCTGCCACTCTCTGCTACCTTGAGCGAAGGTAAACATGACTCTTTTCACCATGTACCGAGAGTTCCCCCGCAGTCTGGGATACAACCTGTTAGTTTAACCTGAAACGCTCTATTCCCCTTGTTCCTATTCGGACATCGAACTAGGTTTCGGAACATAACAGGTTTCTATTGAATTGCTGGGCTCAATGTTTGGTCAGGCCAGGTCAGGTCAGGTTTTATTAAACGGTGAGATGCACGTTAAATGGCAAAAAAGGAAGCCTGAGTAAGGCATGTTTAAGTTTATGGTCAAAATTGCATTAGTAATGCCTAAGCTTTGCATCACTCGATCAGGTTGCCGTTAAGGCTACAGGCTTTTGCGGTTTTATACAGAGGGTATGACCTTAATAATCTTCATCCTTTCAAGTAAGACTGCTCAATTGTCGTCTCGGAGAATTACACACCGACATATTGTGCATGTGCGTGCCTGTCGATGCATTCACAACTAAGGCGGTGGAAGAGGGAGTGAGGTCAACCCTCAGCACAATTTTTCCTCGATAAAGACAATATGTTGCTCTTGAAGTTATCAGGGTGCGCTAAAAGCCGTGGCCTGGAGGGTTACCAACTGACGGGATAACTCGGACACCGCAATCAGCTTATTGTATCTTGTTGTGTAGACTGGCTTACTGCAGGCTGAAAGTCCGGTTGCAACGGCTCCTTCTTAATATGGCCAGCACACGCAGGAACCTATTTAGCAAGGTGTTGCTGTTGTGGCGCATGTTGGAGTATGCTCGCGCTCACTGCCTGCGCACTCCCCCATCTCCGGTCTTCTCGACTACTGTCTTGACATCGGTGAGAGTGGGGTATATCCTGCGAGTATACTTTCACTATAAGACAGCTTTAGTCACCGCTTATGCATTCAGCTTGCTGGAGCTCGTGGTAGACATCGTCGGAAACGACGGTCGAACTGTCGAGGTATTCAAGTCAAAACATTGCGTCACATGTGCCAGTGCAGTAGCCGGATTATAGCACGACTCACGTTATTTTCGTTGAGCACAAATAAAAATGCACAGCATGAATAAATGCTATTGTACGCCTAAGCGCAAGCGCACGTCGTGCAGGCCGCTTGCGCTTAATCCCCGCATCAGATGTCTGAACGCCTCGGACAAGAGACTACATATTAGCGATTACTGCTTCTTTCTATGGCCTATATGGTACTTCCACTTACTTGTAGCAAGACGATATGGGGTTGTCTCACTTTGTCGGTCATTGTGTCTAGTTCCGCCGCTTGCTTTTATTCTGTCGTAAGCCCTGGCTTAGATGGAGAAGGAGAGAATGTAGTAGATACTGTGCTAGCCTGCTATCACTACAAATTATTTCTAGCGCCTGTCACGTTCCGTGCGCCTATTTTGCTCAGGGGCACACGTTTAAAATCGTCGTTTGCGATTATTGAACTTTTCCATATAATCAGAGTACAATTGGTGCCAGTTAGATAACAATTGGGCAAGCAGAAATGCGAGTCTCAGGACTGGACTTTTGGGGCCTTTCGGAATCTACCCTCCGCAAAATCATCAGATACGGGTAATTAATACACAAAGAGCTGCAATTTATATAGAATGCAATCGTTAGCCCACTGCATACCTATGAAAATACCTATGATGATAATTACTCTCTGGTGTGCTAAATGCGTCATCGGAAACGTTCTTGCTACCGCTCTTTGACTGTGTCTCTGATGACGAATCCGTGACGGATCTCGAAACGTCAGGCGAATAAAAGTATTGTCCCTGCGATCGAGTCGTCTTCTTCTAAATGCGTCATGCTCGGCATGCGGGTCTTGACCTGCTGAGATTTCCTTAAAGGCGTTGGAGGTTAGTGTGATGATTGGTCGACCAGTTGGCTCAGCGGCATTGACGTTCAAACACTTGTCTGCCTTAGCGTCCTCCCAGTGAGTGATCATATTGGCCAAAATAAGTCCAAGATCCGAAAATGCGTTTGGAGGTCATTGCACTGTTCGCCGTTTTCTCGCACTACTTGGAGGTTGTGTCACCTGCAGACCGGAGGCAACCATTAGGTCCCCCGTAAAGAAGGCAAAGGACCTACTATCATGGTCATAAACGTATGCACTCTTTTATCTGATCCGATGCAGTAACGGGCAAACCAACTACTTCGGGGAAACTGAAAGACTGATCCAAACGCGAGCAAAACCAACTTCTTTGGGGGAACGGAAAGACTGCTCCAAACGCGAATGGCTATGAATGCGGCAGCAGTACGGAGAAACAACCAATCTTCAAGTCGCCGTTAACTTGGCGAGAGCCGATCACTCATTCGAATTTGATGCGATGGAAATTCGCGTGAGCCGCGACTTGCTTGGATCCGATTTTACATTCCCGGTTTTATTAACAAGTGCACTGTCCTCCCAACACGATCCCGGTTGGCTGAAGCAATCAATATAAAATCATCATAAGCAGATTCAGTTTTGCAGTATAATTTGCATCGAGAACGGATTTATGGAACATTTACCAACGCTCTTCCTTTTCATTAATGTGTCTGTTTGTTCATGTGATAACTTTGTAGGCACTCAAGGCTGCAAAAATGTGTTCTGCCAGCCGCAAACGCAACTCCTTATAATAATTATCGGTCTATGCACCATGCTTTGCCTCTCAATGGCCTGCGGCTGTCTCGTGTCGCGCAATCGTCAACTACTTGCTCACAAGACATCCAGAACAACTCATGGGCCTTCTCTTCCTGCAGTTGGCATCTGCGGTCCCTGGAGACGAAAGAAGTTGCGTCGAAAGGTGACCAGCGACCCCTGGAATGCCTCCACGACGCTTAACCAAAACAACTACATCGACAGCGATCTTTTGCCCAGCATGCAGCCACAGCAATTGAGCTATGTGGAACAGAGTTATATTCACTTTCATTCAACGCCTTCCTATAATGAATTTTTAATTGACAGTACGACCAACGCAGATGCCTCGGCTCGGGATTCCCTGATCCTGCCAAATAGAGCCAAAGTCGGTGTTGGTGTCAGCCCCTCGAGCGCCCGGGATGCAGCAAACGAGTACACTTTACAACGCATTACCCCCAGCGAACGTCAGCGGTCTTACGAAAATGCCATTGAACCGTGGGACCCTCAGTACCTACCATCAGCTAAATTAGAACCGAAATCGCATTTGGAAGCGATTACTGCGCATAGTCATAAGCCGGAGTTTTACAGCGAACCCTCGAATATCAGCGAAGTCCCACCAAAGCCCAGCATCTTGCTACCAGTTTCTTCTGCTATTGGACAAAATACCAGTTTTCTGCAGGAACGGACGGTGAGTGGAGCTGGATTCGGAGCGGGGACTAGTATTGCCGTCTCACCAGATGGCATGCATACTTTTCTCAATAAGTCAGTTTTCGAGGCTTCCACCAATGAAATGCAGCTAGAACTGAGTCCCAGGGGGACCGGTGAACTGCGTGGCACCAACCGTCAGCGGAACATTAATGGAGTCACGTTGGGCAGAGACGCAGATGGCCCTTATCCACAAACGATGGCGCCCAATGTGACCAACCACCATCAAATCCCTTCCCCAAATTATCAAAGGTAAGTTATATTCTCACCCTGCATTTATTGTAGCAAGCAAAGTCACCCAGGTAGCGTTTTCTGTCTTCATATTTGACCTACTGTAAGCTAATGGATTATATTGTTTCAACCTTCTAGCTCTGCCTGCTCTTGATCATGGGTTGTAGTTTCAGGCAAGCATTTGGGTCCTTCTGAGTGATGCTACAATCAGCTAACAATCGCAAGACAACTTAAGGTCACAAAGCAGTAGCATCGAATCTGTCGCGTAATTACTGTAGAAAAGCATTGCCGATGAAGACGAGAGACTGCAAAAGACGCTTCCGGCTTAAAAGCCGCCCTCACCTAGCTATAATCAATCCCACATGGTGCACCAGCCGAGGCCTAAAATACCAGCCTATAGTTCTAGCCATTGTGCGGCTGTTGATGGGCCCCGAGAGTGAGCAGCAAGGCAGTATTGGACGGGTGAATACTGTAACTGTTCGGTGAGTATTCACAAGCAGGTCAATACGTCATCTAAAGCCAACTTCAGGGAACTAGATAACCGAGAAATCATCAGGTTCTATAAATACTGCAACTCCTTGTGAATTAATTACCCGCCTCTGCCAATGCCTCTGGTGAAGGGTCTGGGAGGGAATTCGAAACGTCAGGCGATTACTTTCTCATCTTCTTCTTCTCACGTTTAATGATAATTGATATCTATATTATTGTAAAGGGTTTTTAAAACACTTTGTAACTTAAATGGGGATTTGAATTATTTGCGAATTCAATTTGCGATCAAGGTGTGAGCACATCTAGGGAATCCTAAAAGCCAAAGACATTAACAGTATATCCATTTTACATGTACTCACACACATCTCAAGGCCTATCCGTATCAGCATTCATTTTTCATTCAAGTGATTGTCGATTAGTCAGATAGAACAACAGTGTAGGTGTCCTCAACCATAAGGAAATGATACTCGACACACCATCCTAATTGTCCATGGAAACGTGGAATCTTGGTCTGCGGCTAGTAGATCATTCCATGGATTGATGCGAATGTTTGGGTTCCGGTTTTTTACGTAAATAAAGGGGGAAATGTTCGAACACCGGAAAGATCTGTTCATTATTAAAAATAGCTGTAAAGGGTGACAGTTAGAAAAGATACAAAGCCAATGAGATATCCCCGATTTACGTATTACGATGACTGCACAGGGTTCTGTAAACCGGCACCAACTCAATACATTGATTGATTGAGTTTCCATCTGTGTACCAGTTATCCACTCATCTTCTCTCCGACGTGGAATGATTTCCGTGACACTTGCGAAGTTGAAATCATGACCCCTTGCTGACTTGTGAGCAGCAACTTGCCTGGTCTAGCGATGTGAACTC